CCGGGACCCCAGGGCAGGTTCGCTACCGCCCGGATGGCGGGGTGCCGGGGAGACCACACTGCGTTGCGTCCCCGGCACCCCCACACACCACCCCACCACTCCCACACGCTGGGAGGCGCGGCACCGTCTGGGGCCACAGCCAGGTTCAAGCCCTGGGCCGCGCACACGATTCGGCCCCACCCCCACACACACAGGGGGTAGGGCCGGAGTTCACTTCCCACCCCCACGGGGCGGGACCATTCGGCAGTGGCGCAATTGGTAGCGCAGCGGTCTCCAAAACCGCAGGTTGCAGGTTCGAGTCCTGTCTGCCGGGCGAGCCGCCCCACGTGGGGAAGCGCGAGGCGGCACCACACCACCCCACCACCACAACCGCGCAGGGGAAGGCGCCCCGTGGTGGTGGGGCACATGCGCGCCTGGCGGAACAGGCAGACGCGCCGCCCTCAAAAGGCGGTCCCCGAAAAGGGGGTGCGGGTTCGACTCCCGCGGCGCGCACCAGTACAGGAGGACGCCATGACCACCATCATCGGCACCATGCCACTACACCCCGGCACGGCAGGACTCATCACCGACGAGTACCTGACCCAGCACACGGCGGCCATCACGGGCGCACCCCACCAGGTCCTCATCGACGGGCACGAGACCCACACCATCGACTGATGTCCCGCACCAGCACCGCCACATGGAAGCGCACCAGAGACGCGACCAAAGCCAAGGCACAAGCACAAGGCCAATGGGCTTGCCCACTATGCGGGCAACCTATCGACTGGCTCTACGCGGGATACCCCAACAGTCCCGAGGTGGACCACATCATCCCCTACGCGAAGGGCGGCACTGACACACCGGAGAACCTCCGAGTCATCTGCCGCACCTGCAACAGGACTAGGGGAGGCGCCCAAGGCAACCGGGCGAGACGGGAACGAGAGACCACTGCAACCGCGCAGCCGGTCACCCCACCAACACGCATCAAGTGGTGAACATCACATGGACGGGGGTTGACATGGAAGACCCCTGGGG